TTGCTTTGAAAAGGACAGGCAATTTTATCATGGATACTGTGCCCTGAGCCTCAGTTCTTTCAACACATATTATTCTCAGCATCTGTATACAATATAGGACAAGATCTCAAAATCCTAGGATCCTGGGATAAAGTCACTTTTTCCCCCTGAACAGCTAAAGTCAGGCTCCCCAGGAGAAAGAGGAGTTTGTAAAATCTTACAAGAATCTGCATGTTAACTTGCAGCAGTTGCAAACCCACGGGACTCAAACATATAAACCAGCTGCTCTATCTTAGGAGCAGCAGGACGCTGTGGGTCTAATCAACACATTTTATCTGAATGAAAGACCAAATTACACATCCCAGTCCACAGAAATCCACAAAGGCAACAGCAGAAAACTTCATGTTCAGTATAAACCACCCATTGTCAAGTGCAACAAAACAGGAGAAAAGTATATGTTAGGACTGAATTTCTGGCTATGAACCATCATCTGAAGCCAACTTCTTATAAAGCAGTTTTGCCTGCAGGATGTAGATGGCATCAGGAGTGCAGTGAATTGGAACCTGCCTCATGCTCTCTGAATACATTCAGATTATTGCCAGAAGTGTGTGCAGTACAGCAAAGTGCTGCCACACAAGCATGTCAAAGCCAAGCTTTATAATCTTTTGCTGTCTGAAAGTGATATATCATCCCAAATACAATTATATGATAGCAAATACAACTAGCACAGCACAGGCTTATTACTAACAGAAGCACAACGCAACCTAGACACTTTTATTCCTACCACATTGAATGTTCACACAAAGAAAGAACAAAAGTTCTGATTTAAATTTAGCTTTATCACTTCAGCAGAAAACTGTCTGAAGAACTTGAGAAATTCTTGAACACTCATTGCAGATGTTAGCTTGTAGGACCAGAAATTCATATTCACAGTGAAAGGTTTCCCTGAACTTCTATGGTTTGTGGCAGAAATTTACAAAGTGAAATTCTGGTTCTACTGAAGTTGGTAAAGGCTTTGCTATTGATTTCCATAGGGTCAGCATCACTCTTGCTCTAACAAATAATAACTAGAATCACCTTTTAATACTTACTTATTCCTGCAATATACTATCAGATATATTTAATGCAGTGCACATAAAGTAAGTGACAAACTTTGTTATCAGGAGACATTTGTGCTTTGAAATAGAGAAAGTAGTGAGAGGAAATGCCAGTAGTCCTCTGAATTTCCCAAGTGAATCAAACCTTAAACTATGTTTTCCTTCAGAACAGTAATTACATTTTTACCCTAAAAAATGCCACTGTCCTTAAATAAGCCTACAGAGATGTCACCAGAGGGTCACTCACTGAACCATCCAGGATGGGGAAATCTATTGCTTAATCAGTCCAAGTTGTGGGGACTCTGATCCTAACCACACAAGAGTGGAAAGATCTGGAATGGCATTTACAGGCCAAAGTAAATTGGAAGGGATCTGTTTTCTCCAATGATTTACTTAATTACTTTTCAAATTAAGCTAGCTATTCAGGTAATTCTAGAAACAATCTCAGGGCCTGAATACTCTATGGCAAAACAGATGTGAGCTCTGAGAGAGAACTGTGTGGGTGCCAGGCTTGCAGAGAGCTGCAGTGGCAGACAGGTGTCTATTTCCTGCAGACAGAGCACCTTGGATCAACTAACTTAAATTCTGCATCCACGCTCCACTGGGGTTTTGGAACAGATCAAACAGACTTGGTATCACGGACATTACAGGGCAGAAATCAAAGATGTTGGCAGAGCAACAGACTCTCATTCTGCCTCTCAGACTTGGGAGAAATCAAAGGAAGGTTCAATGCCAACTGGAGACTCCAATGTGCTTCAGCAGAGCTCACACTGCCATACCCTTCCCATAGTAGCAGGCACCTTCTTCTCAGTATCCACTGCACAGACCTCTCAGTTCTGCACATGCTCTAAAATCCAACCTAAAACAGTGCAACTTAGAGCAAAGACATCACTTCTCAGTCCTGGTGCACTTGGGGAGAGCAGACGGCCTTGCAATGCTAAATGGCTGCTGAAAACAATGGCTTCCTTAAAGTAGCAAGGAAAAAATATAATTAACAAGTCAATATCTCAAGAAATAAAGGGTGAAAAGCCCTACGAGGGATGTTGCCTGCTGGGGCCTGGCAGAGATGGGAGATAACACTGCTTCAGTCCACAAATGCTTTACTCACTGTTCATTACATACTTCTTCTTGTTTAAAAATGACATTACAGATTCCCCTGGCAATAGCAGAAAATTAATTTCCCTAGACTCCCAGAGTGAAAGCCCTGCTTCTTGTATGGAGTCAGCTGATTCAAATACTCCTGCTTAAAAAAAAATAACAACCAAACACCCGAACTTCCACTGTAAATAAGCAGACCTGCAAGTCTTTCAAGGCAAAGACAGGAAACAAAATTGATGAGATCACAGGAAACTCAGCCTTACAGGTACCAAGCATCATCAAAAGAAGAGACAGTGCATAAGAGCTTTGCTCCTCAGCCCTGCACCTTCAGAAGCCCTGGCTGAGTTCTTCTATATGAGAGGCATAGGTAGGCCCAGCAAAGTGCCATTTTCTAGAAAATCCAAGGAACTCAGGGCATAGATCCAGTAGTGCAAGTGAGAACACATTAAAAAATCTGTTATTATCTAGCACATACATCCAGGAGAAATGGTAGGTTATGTGACATTGCACAGAGAGTAGAAAACATGTGGAAAGAAGATCTAGGGACATCAGGTTGAAGGGACCTCTGGAGATTCTTAGTTCTACCTCCCAGTGGGAGCAGGACTGACACCAATACCAGAACCATCCACCCCCTGGAATTTTTAACTGGATGATTCCTGTTCTTTTGTTATGTTATGTGGCTGTTAACAGCTTATTAAGTGTTTGGGAGTGTGTGCATGGCAAAGAGCCAGAGAGGAGAACAAAACCTATCATCTCCAGGCCTTGGCTCCTAAGATGGGCAAGCAAGCAAGCAACACAAGTGAACTGTCCCGTCGAGGAAATCAGTCCCCTCTCAGCTCCTATCATCAGTGAAAAGGGAATTGTGGTCCAAAGAAAATGAAGTCAGCACTCCTCAGGAGGAGGTGAAAGGGCACCTCCCCGGCTGGGGCCCTGCTGATGGCACCCCTCGGGCTGTGCAGGAGTTCTTTCTTCTGCACTCACAAAGGAATCCAAGCAAATCATTTAAAAGTGCCTCAGGGCACAGCTTGCCACTACATCAGGTTTGCCCTGTTAAAATAATAAATGAGGTAATGCATACAACTGCCTTCAATTTGAGGACATTTCATTCATAAAACAGAAATACCAACAGCTTTGCTACCAAATAAACTTCATAGATGGGTTTAAAAAGTCTCTGCACCTCTCCCTGCAGTAGAGCAGAGCCAAGCTGTAGCGATTCTGTGGCCCAAGACACACTCTGTTTCCAAGGACAGCTCTGCAAGTTGAAATGAGAGCTGACAGCTTCCAGGTCATTACCCTGACAGCATAAACAGGACCTATGCACAAGTACAAGCATTCAGGTGGACTGGAGAAATGGCCCCAAGGGCAGAACTAGACAAACACTATTCTGCTTTTTGTTCTGAGTTTCCAGAAAAACTTTTATTCTCCACTCCCTTCTCCTCATCTTCAGGATATGTGGAGCCTGGTGCTGGCTATATTTGTGTTGCTAGCTGAAAGAACAGCAGAACATGCCAAGCATTTAATAACAAAATTCCAGCCTTGTGACACAACCCAGTAATCCCAAGACTGGAAACTAACCTCATATTTCTACTCAGCATAAAACCCTAATCCTAGTAAGAGCACCACTATGTTTATTTTGCTTGAACCTTTTCTAAAGACATGCATCTCTCAAATTAAGAAAAGTTACTGTGTACCAGGTGGAACAGGGTTGTACTACCTACGTACCTGTGGCATCCACAGATTGGTAGAGTTCTGACAACACAGAAACTACTAAAACTAGTTATGAATATCTGTGTTATCTCTTACACAGAACTGGTTAGAGCTGCTGCTGTGGCCACTACTGGTCCCCCACCACCTTGGGAACCTTCTCAGGACACTCCTATGATGAGGAAACAAATGGAAGAAAACAGTTTCCTAGGCTGGGTATGAGCATGAGGCTCAGCAAGTCAAGATCCCAAGTTCAGCCCAGGGATAAATGTGCATATAGATATATTTAATGACTCATCAAGACCCCAGCAAAAGGAAGGGAATAAACTTCCAAACCCAGGTTGGTGTTTTGGACACTGTTTGCCTTGATCATTTCCCTCACCACATCCCAAGCAGCTTCTCATTATTGCATATGTCCTGGCTTCAACACCAGTCAGGCTTGCAGTGCAGCAAAGTGCCAAACACCTGGAATTCCATTTTATAACAGCTTTTGCTGTCACTAACTGTGTTGCAGGGGTGAGGATGTGCCCGACAAAGCTGCAGCACAAGCCTATCCTGTATCCCAGCACAGATGGCAGAACTGCTCAACTGTCTCAACTTACAACTCACAAACCAGCAGAAAAATTGTGCCACTGCACACAGATCTGGACAACTGCAATGTGTGACACATAAAATTGCAAATTCAAGTGTTTCAGGGGTAGATAGAAACAATATCATGTTAACAGAAATAATCTGTGCACAGGGTGCATATATTCCCACACCCAGAAACACAAAAGTTTCATGCATCTATTAAATTAACAACCAGTTAACTATTATGTTCATTGGACTGCTACCATGCACAAGTGTTTAACCACAGGGTTCATACCACACTGTGCTGTCTTGCCCTGGCACTACAATATTTTCTCCAAAGCTCTTTCCAATCCTAACTGTGATGGGCACATTTTGCAAAGACCATGATCTGGTCACATTACTGTAAAGGATATAGAGAAAAATCACTTCTGAAGAACCAAATTTAGATTCAACCTGGACTATGTCACCTTTTGTGCTACAAGGAAAGACACTGTTAGAAACAGTCCTATGGACACACATAAAAGGCCAGTGTTGAACAACTGCTACACTTACTCTGCGAAATGACACCACGTAGAATGTATCTTCCCTTCGGCGAATAGCTTCAAAAAAATCTTGATAGCTCCTTGGAGAGGCATAATATAC